CCTTTGAGCGTTCCTCTTTGTCACCAAGGAATTGCCACTTCTCCTTTTTCTACAAAAAAAACCCACAATTTGATACTTTCATCGCAGAACTGCAAATTTCAAGTAAAGAATGGCTATATACAGGATACAATGCGGCACGTACCCCATCGGCGCGCCCATGATCACGAACACTTCGTATGCTGATGACTATGAAGAAACTCGACACGGGATTGCTTACCAAGAGACATTATTGTCCCTATAAACATCTGTCTGCTTCTCGTTGATGCGCTCCGTTCAACCACTGGATGAAGCCCCATGCGAAGTCTCTCCGTTTCTAACCACCCCTATGTGTGTGTTTGCTATGATATTGCTACGATTGGCTGGCACATCGCTTGCAGTCGTTTGCTAGCCGATCACCCAATCGCCAGCTAGCGATTCGCTGTATTCGCCAAGTCTGACAGCCTCCTAACCATAAGATGATCAGCGTTGTACAATTACGATAAGCGTTGGGTGTTTTTTCAACACCAATGCCATAACAGTTAATTCAGCCAAGACACTATCCAAAGCGTGGCGGTTGTTTACTGGGATATGACGAGCACTGAAAAAGGCCACTTACCCTCTAATGTAATGCACTATCCTTGAAGAACTTGTTAACAACCACGTTAATCGCGTGCGGTTTGACAGCCCTCGCTTGTTTTGTGAAGATTTCCCCTTTTTGGAAAATCCAACAGCGTAACGTCTTTTGTCGTCACGTGTACAAGGAAATTTGATAACCATAAAACTTATGTCGGGAAAAATTACATTTAACTAAGAAACAGCAGTTAAAGTATGGTTTTGAGGAACAGCCGGACACTGTCATCATTCGCGCGAAGTACGTGGCTATACCGCAGTAGACGAGCTTCGCGCAAATTTGTCAGCAATGAGGATTACATCAAAGCGTTCCCGTACGAAGTCATTGCGAACACAGTGGGGCGCTTCAGCTCCTCTTGTCATACGCCAATAGTCAGCGCCACACAGCAGCAATGGAAAGCAACAACCGCGGAGATCAAATCACGGCATTCGGTATGCCCTCTAGCTTCATGTATTCAACAGCGAATTATAACCAAGAAATTGAAAGTGATGGTGGAACACGGACGAGAATTTGAAAACAAACAACACGCACCAAAACGAGCTTTGGCGCCTCAGGGCATTTCCTCTTCTT